TTGTGGTGAGTTCTGTTGTGGATACCGATCGCTGGCCGACCTCGAACGCTTTTTATACACTCCCTCCATGAGTCAGCTCTCAAACACCATAAATGCTAACCCAGCACCTGCCGTGGGCCGCCTCCTTGGACGTCCTTTCACATGATTTCAGGTATTGTTACATAGGAAACCTCACAGCGCATCCCATTCAATTGCATTTACGTCTAAAACTGCCTGACTTGTTTGTCTTCCCACAGCTCCACCAAGGTTGAACTCTTATTTGGCACCATTCCCTCCTTACCATTGAGGGACATCGAAAGAGACAGAGGAAGAGAGCTACAGAGTAGTAGGGAGAACGCCGGAAAACAAATGTAATTCTTTGATTATTCTCAGACCAAACAACAGAAAGCGTAAATCTGGGGGAAAACGAATTTCCACCAAAGGATTTTCGTTGAATAAACGCCCATAGAGAAGCCGATGTCCGCAGAAGTAGACGTAATGGGAATGGCTTCGAAATGGCAAAGTGACTGGAAAGGTACTGAGCTCACCTCACTTCCTGCGACATTGCCTAAATGCAGCACTCCTGCCATTTTCTGTTCCAATTCGCTCATCTTCTCTCCTACTTTGGCCAGAAGCTAGAAAAAGAAACAGTTAAGCGGTAAAACGAGAACGAGAAGGAACGAGCCTAAAGGGCAGAGAGGGCAGAACAAATCTGGTTAGTCACTGCAAAAAAAAACACCCACATCACTCATGACGATTTCGGCGACGAATGCACTGCAAGGATGTTATCCGGGAGATCTGGGCTGTTGGATGGTGCCGTTTGGAACTACGCACCCACACTGTGTAGCAGCGGCTAGTATGGAGAAGGATTGGGTGTACGGCCGAACACTGAAATCGATACGATCCTATCATAACGCAGGGCAAACGATAGCTCGAGCGCAACTGAGCGCAAAGGTCACGTCCTCAATAGGGAAAGGGAGTCCCACATGCAACTCAACGTTCGAGTTTCAGTTACACAGAATCTGCTGATCATAACGAGTCATACGGCGCGGTGTCCGGAAGCGCCAGGAACCTCCCACAAACACCCATTCCAGCAGCACAAATGATCATTCCAGTGATCAACAATCATGTTTAAAGTTCCCCGATCTCCGAGACGGGAAGGCGCTCCTCGGTTGCAGCATAACAGAGATGACAGCTTGTTTTGCGCCCATCAATGTTACCCATCACTTTTAAAGGAAGAATGAATAGAAATGGACAGTAACTGTCGCTACAGGAATGTATCCTGAAGTTTTCGTTTCAAGACCCAACCCGAATCGGATGTTTTGACGCTGGTGAGCACAGCTACATCTCGCTCTGCACAAGTCGATGAAGCTAATTGGAAAAGCGATGTTTTCCTATGCATATTTGTCTATTGCCATGTTTTTCAGAGGCTTTCTCACACGAAAACAAAAATCTCCAAAGCAGAAAACCACTTTTAGCTAGTTGTTGCCGATTACGCCATCATCATCCTCAGAAGTCTGGTACGGGTAAGACTCACCTTTGTCTTGAAGACCACAAAGAAGGGATGTCTAGAGGAAGACTCTCACTATTCATAGGCAATGTTCAGGCTCACGACTAAGCTGTATTGACACTTCAGGCTCCCAAGCTTGTTGTATTGTAGGAGGGAAAATTGGAAGAGTAGAAGAAGTGTTCGTTCTCACTTAGCCTGCAGGATCTAATCTGGGATATCCCAAGGAGAGCTACTGAAAAGGTCTAGAGGCACAGTTCATGATCAAATCAGCTTCACAAACTAGGTATTGGAAAGGAACCTTGGCTCCTGAAGAGTCGTTGTTCGGTGTGGTCAAGGCGAAATACAGTCAGGAGGAAATAGGGGCCCACAGTTCAGGAACCCGCCCACTACAACAATGACGGTGGGCGTTGGCAGACTTTGTGTGTTTAGTGAGCCATACAACGCCAACAAGGACATTTCAGAAACGAAAGTTCCTTTCCACACACAATCCATAGAACAAATTTGATCGTGAACTGTCTCTTCAAGTTCATTACTCCAAGTCGTATATTCCGACTGCTTACACAGTTGAAAAATCGACTCTATTGGTTGATGGGATTCAATAACCATCTTTGACTTTATAGTTTTTTATTGCTGTCTTGACATGAATGAATGCTCTGGGGTAAGAAGATGTAGTGGTGATTGTAAGCTATCACGGCCGTACGAGTGTTGCTTGCAGTGGCGATTGTAAGCTATCAGGGCCGTACGAGTTGTTGCTTGCAACAAATCTGGGAACGGTTTCAAGACCTGAATGACGACTGTGAGTTGGTTCTTATCCTGTAACCTCGTAATACGTCCTTGACGATGACTTTTCCTTTCCACCCATAAAAACTCGGTTTTCTCAGAAGTGCAATGTAAATTGAATATCCTAATTTCTCAGGTCCTATTTTAAAGGTTTTTTTGCTTCCTTTTGAAGTGAAAATCGGCGGATTCTAAGAAATATCGAGCTCCGAAAAAGTAGTAAGAAAGAGGACTGCGATGTTGTGTGCGTGACCGTCTGGTTGCCTTCCACATAGGCATTCCAACGTTTGGGCCCCAATGCTCCGCTCCAATGGTACAACGTTAACAATACCACCACGAAACGGCCACCCTCGAGTGTATATGTCGACTAAGTCGACTGGCTGACTTTGACAATTTCCCGGTATGTATTGTCCTTTTGTCTCACTTTCGATGTCATAGCTGAGTTTGACAACGTAATGACCCTTGGAGGTATTTAAACGTCCCGTGAACGTATGATACAGAAACCCCCTGGCAACACACCAACCTCCCCGGGACTTCACCCGGGATACCTTTTTGTTGAGTCGAATATGTGACGGGTGTTTGGAGGCGTTTGGGTGTGTGTTCGGGTTACTGTGCAACACATTCACGGGACGATTAAATCCGTCTTGTGGGGTCTGGTATCTTCTCCCCGAGAACGACGTCGCGCTCGCCGCACCCGGTCGCATGCCGCCGCGCGACCTTTGCCGTTTGCTATGTGAATTCGGGGGGAAGTTCCGTCTCCCCCGTCTTGTGCATTGAGCTCAAAGGGTGCTCTGTATGTCTCACTGTCCTTTTTTATTGTCCTTTCAAGTTACTCTGGCAACGATTCGCCTAGTCTCGGTATAAGAGTGTGTTAGCCTTGACTTGTGGACTTTAAACGGATAAGAACAGTCGATACATCAACCTGGTCCCTAGCGATCCCGCTGTGAGTCCAGGTTCGAACGTTAGTAACACAACACCATGGCTTTGCGACTCGCGCATGTCACGCGTCCTTGCCCAGGTCCCTTTCCCGGGCGTCGTATATGTGGTAGGTTGAGAATCTGCGTATGATCATGCTGTTTAATGAACTATGTTATCTGTAAAATTCTGCGTCCATTGCATTTTATTCCACCGCAAGGTCACTGTAGGAACCGGGTATTCGCACTGAATTTTCTACCACACTATAATATGAGTTACAAAATGAAGTAGTGCGCCAATAATATGGGACGTAAACGATCCTGCTAAGCGTCAACTCGACTACCCGGCCAAAAGCACTCAGAATTTATTCGTAGAGGCCGTCACGGTGTAAAAAAACAGTTGGTTTCTTATGGAGGGTGAGCATAGGAAGGGCGTAAGAGCAACAGATGAACTAATTCCCATTTGGAACTACTCAACCCACATAAAAAATTAAGGCTAACATCTGTTCCCAAATGTCGAAATGATAGCGTCGAGAACCACTTCCCATGACCCTGAAGTTATGCGGCTAGAACGGTGGCTACTGCAGAGGCAAGGTAGCGACCTACCCGATACCCTCTAGAATTCGCAAGAGAAGGGGAGTCAAAGAGTGTGTTCAAACTAGCATGACAGTATTGGAAGACGTGAATCTTCCGGAAATACTAGAACTTGACGAATATAAGGCACTGAATAACCTAAGGGCGAGGATATGTGAACACCCAAGCGTTCGTTAAAAGGGCACATACCTTCAGACCTAATGATTCCCCTTTAAAAGTAAAATTACTGTTAGTCAGAGGTATTGACACCAAAGAAAATATTGAGGGCGACGTAAGGCGATCGGGGGCATTATGTAATTTCAGGTAGCGGTAGAGGCCCTATACGAGAAGAGCGAGGGCAATGACATGCGGAACCTTTAGAGCAGGACCATTCAAGTGTAGATTCATAGTTAGCTGCGTTTCCTCCCATTCCTAGATTGGTCAATGCAGCAATCCATTTTACCTCAGTCACGGGGCTTGTTGACATTCCAGCAAGGAAAGGGCATTCCGTGCCTTAAGTTAGCATTGGCGATTCCCTTCTCATTCGAAACTTTATCTAACCAACTTTTCCGGTTAACATTGAAGTTATTTTACACAATTTAGACTAAAATCCAATTAAAACAGTGGTCATCGAAAGCTGTTATGCATTTCTAAAACCCTCTCCAGTTAACACATTCGTAAAGTATTTATGAATTCACATAGGAATGTTAGTAACGAGGTTTCCATTGGTAAGCTTCATTCACTCACAGAAAACGGTTTATGCTTAAGATGAAATTCTGCACAGCGTTAACATGAGACTAGGCACTTCAGATAGAGAAGCACAAACAATGAAAGGCTTTACTCACTGCACCAGAACGAGTGATTAGGGATAGACATGCGAGTGATAGGACACAAACTGACACCACACGACACCGAAGCGAAAGGCGAGGAAGACAAGGCGGGCAGGAGGCCGAGCGAGCGCGACCCTTTGCCACGAAAGCCGCTGAACGACTGCAAACTACGTACGCTGGCGATCAATAGGCAGCGTAAGATCGCCCATGGCCAAAACTCCTCCCCTCGTCATTGCCTCGTCTAGGAACGACCACAAACCCTGTTCACTGGGTTAGAACTTCACCACCAAGCTATACAACTTTATTTAGCCTTTGCATAAATAAAAAACAACGGGAATTTGAAATATCTGCGAAACAGCCTTATCAACAACCTTTTTTATTAGATAACTTCGGTAACAACAGGCCGGAACAATAGATTTACATTTTGTCAAGGTAGTTGTCAAGTGCGGGCACGCCCTCCTTGAGTCCTTTACGTTTCCTTGTCTCAAGAACAACCTGGTTAGGCTTCGTTCCGGGCTCCAGTGGGTCTCCTGGTAAAACTTGCCAGTGGTCAAACACACATTGAGGGAAGGCTTGACCACCAGTATTCGAACGTAGATCGGCAGTGAAACCTAAACAAAGGCAAAAATAAAAAGCAACCACACTCGACATGTTGAATCTGTGGAAATTTCATACCAAATGATTCGTTGACGGGAAGATAGGCTTTCACAACGAACATAGGAGTACCGGTGACTTGTGACTCTTCGAAAACGTGTCCTCTTCGACGGTTGAGCACACCATAGATACCACCAACGGCAACTTCGGGACATTGGATTTCAACAAGGTAAACAGGTTCCAAAAGTCTTGGTGAAGCAGTGAGTACGCATGCATAAATAACACGACGAGCAGTTGGGATGATTTGTCCACCACCTCTATGAATGGCATCAGCATGGAGCGTAACATCTTGGATATCGAAACGAATTCCGCGCATGTGTTCGTCAGCTAAGACTCCTTCTCTTGTTGCCCACTGGAATCCAGCTACAACCGAATCCTTGATTTCATTGAGGTACTGAACCCCCTTCGTTACGTCGACTAGAATATTGGGACCAGTTCCGTCGGGGCCGAAGCACCAAATTTTACGCGCTTCAGTGACGTCGTAATCGTATTTCTCTGCCAAAATTTTGGCACGAGCTTTGAACTCATCACGAGCATTGACGGTTCCATTCTCGATGTCGTCAGCTAATCCGTCAGGCATTGGCTTGCAGGTGGCATGCAAACGATTGTGCTTGTTTGGCGATTTCGACAAGCAAACTTGGTTCGACTCCTCCGCGACTGTTTCACGATATGATACGACGGGGTCCGACTTCTTCAGGGGGATGCAAGCATGGTCCTCTTCAAGATCCTTCAAACAAATCTCAAGATGGAGTTCGCCAGCACCAGCGATGATATGTTCTCCCGATTCCTCGAAGATGCACTGCACCATGGGATCAGACTTTGCGAGACGTTTCAATCCTTCGACCTTAAAAACGTAAGAAATAAAAAAATCGAGGCAATACTCATGAAAAATGTGAAAAACATACCAATTTGGGCAAATCAGCCGGGTTTTTCGCCTCAACAGCAACACGGACGACAGGTGAAACGGAGAATTTCATCACTCGCATGTTATGAGCATCTTTGAAAGTTGTGATGGTTCCTCCTTTTACAAGGTACTGGTCAACACCAACGAGACCAGCAATGTTTCCTGATGGAATGTCCTCAATAGGCTCGATGTAACGACCCATCATAAGAATGGTTCGTTGGATGGTCTTCTCGTAGAGGTCCTCTTTCTTTCCAGGAACGTAGTTGGGCCCTTGGATCCTGGCCTTCATTCCTGTAGCGACCTTTCCGGAGAACACACGTCCGAAAGCGTAGAATCGTCCCTTGTCGGATGTCGGTACCATTTTCGACACGTACATCATCAGAGGGCCATTGGGATCGCAGTTCTTGATGGCGACGGCAGCTTCGTCGTCATGGGGTCCTTCGTACAACATCTCCATTCTGTACTTTTGAGCCGTTACCGGTGATGGCAAATGGATACAGATCATTTGCAGCATAGTATCTCCAGCGGGAAGCCATTTTCTCATGAACACCTGAATAAAGTAAATAGGAAAGATCCACAAAACTATGTGAAAAAACGGACCTTCATTAAGGGTTTGCCCTCAAGGTCTTTCTCATCATTAGCTAGCTTGATTCCCAACTTAACAATGAGAGCCTCGACTTGGTCCTTCTTAACGTTCATGACGGCATCGAAGACCTGAAACACAACCGCAATCAGTTAAAGAGATTTTCGACACCTTTTACAGTAAGAAACACGAGTAATTAGGCCACAAAATAGCACCAGTCAATCAATGTCGTTATATGGCTTGAAAATGAAAACAACGGTCAACCAAGCTAATGGTCATACAACATTGAAAGGAAAAAAACGAAAAAAAGTACCTTGAAGATGGGGTCCAACACAAATTGGTTGAATCCTCTCTTTGCACCTTCGCTCTGTTGTGAACTCCATTTCTTAGTCTTCAAATCGAAGAATCTGTCACCCCAAAGGTTCTTCATCAGTTTGTCGACCTAAGGAATCGCATTCAATTTCCCGTACTGGTTAAAGTTCAAGTTTTTTTTTACCTGAACTCCGAATTTGTCGGCGTACATTTCGGCGAACTGTTTTAGCGTGAAAGCCCAGCCGTGAAGACCGGAACCGAAACCGACGTTACCAACTGAGGGATCAACCATGATGGCCCCCATGGGACCATCATCATCTCCGTACGTAGCAATGATGACATTGATGTTTTCAACAATACGTTGGAATGTTTGGAACAACTCTTCGGCCCCAAGTTGCAGCTCAAGAAGGGCACGATCCATTTTGTTCATGAACAAAATCGGCTTAATACGTTCAGCTATCGCTTGTCGAAGGACAGTCTCTGTTTGGACACACACTCCTAAAAAACGGTTTCGCAATCGATACTTAGCTACTGCACAATGATTTGGCGCAAATTAACGTACCAGAAACGCAGTCTACAACAACAAGGGCTCCATCAGTGACGCGAAGGGCAGCAGTTACTTCGGAGGAGAAGTCGACGTGACCGGGAGAGTCAATCAAATTGATCAAAAAGCCCTTGAATTTTTCTTTTTTCCCGTCCACTTCAGTGTATTCGACCTCTCCCTTGATGAAGTTAAGATCCTTGGGCTCGAGTTCGAAGAACATAGAAATGGCACTGAAAGGAAGAACCTAGCCCAGTTCTAGAAAACAATTACGTTATCATAAGCAACACATTGAGAACTACATACGTGGATTTGATGGTAATACATCTTTCTTGCTCATCTTTTCGGGTGTCAGTGAAACGAGTCTCTCCAGCTTTGGCTCCAGCTATAATACCAGCTTTCGAGACGAGTGAGTCAGTAAGGGTAGATTTCCCGTGGTCCACATGGGCGATGACGGACATGTTACGAATATTTTTTTTGCGATCCATCAACGCACGGATCTCTTCGATAGTGAAGTTCACCTTAAATATAAAAATACGCTTATAACAAAAATCCTCAAATCTTTCCCAAAATTCTGAACTTTTACTTCAATTCCAAGTAATCAAACGGACAACATGAACTCTAATACTTTTAACTCACCATTTTTGGAGATGTCGGTGTTGCTCAGGGCAACTTCCTTGACGAAATCAACGAGGCTCACAACCGCACAAACGAGGCGGCGATCAAGTAGTGAGGCTGTAGCGAAATGGAATTCTTGTCGCGACGAACTGCACTGCTTCAGCGTGGCGATACGTAGCGATTACGGTAACGCGCCGAATTCGAAATACTTGGCCACGGGCCAAAACGGATCCGGGTGACTGAAGTTCATCTCGGCTGACTATTTACTCTGGTTTTCTACTGTTGTGACTATTTCTTCTTCTTTGGTTTGAGAGCGGGTCTTGTAAGGAATGCTCCAAGTGACAGCACCAGTTTTGAGGGTGTTGCCCGCGGGGATGGGAAATTTAGATAACGCTTATCTCCTCGTCATTATCTTAGATGAAGTAATTACTGCGGTTTCAGCTTTCATTTTTGAAGCTCACTTTTTTCAAAACTGGATCTGACAGACTGTTCAAATGAAACTGCTCGGAAAAGGGTGACATTTCTTCAACGCATGTGAACGATTCAGTTTTGTTCGTCATCATAATTTTACTCTTAAGGCTTCTTTAAAAATGGTTTTTTGTGGATTGGGGAGATCGGTATAGTAGGTTATGTTGAACTAAGTTTGAACTCTTCTGGTGAAGCCATATTTATTAGTTTCTCCTGAACGGGACAATCATATCTTGAAGGAAATCGTACGATAATGCTTTTGGTGTTGTTTTATCCGAGATGGAATGATCCGAGCGTTTTTGTTTACTGGTAGACCTTCTGTTCCCTTCTTTCTTTGCCTGAGCTGAAGCTCCCGTTTGGACATCGTCGTGTTTCCGATCTCTCTGGTTCTATGTTTGATGCGTTTGGGAAAAACCCACTCTATTATATTGATAAGCTCTTAATGCTTAATTTTGTTGTTCGTTCAATTCCCTGTCATGTGTTCTGCACAGATCTAAATTTAGTACTCTCTCTGTTTGATGAAGACCTGACCACCACCACTCTTGAACGTTCTTAGTGCTCTTATCTTCTGTATCAGAGTGACTAGTATAGAACAATTGATGGAGAAATGCCACATGAGACACCGATCTTGTATGTTAGCAATCGAATCAGCCTCGGTCAAGTATAACTTTCGGACTGAATATTTACTTTGTCGATTAAAAGAGATACAGCAAATCAAGGCAAAGTGTTGGGGTTAATGGCGCACCTCACAAACGCGTAATCTAGGGATCGAAAGCCGGATCGCTGTCCGCCCGGGCTTACCAAACCTTCCATCGTTCCAGGATCCGCTAATGAGCTAGAATGATCTGGGATGATAACAGCACTGACTTGGACATTGGCTAGCCATGGCAATCCATTGGAAAGGCCAATTTAGACTCCAGTGCTACGATTGTGAATGGAAGGCAAATGCGTCTCCGGCGGCACACCAGAAAACTTTATCCTGATCATTCCAGCCACTGTAGAGAATCAATTCCTGGGATTATCCATCAGGTTGTTCTAGGCTATTTGAGATTTTCTAGGAACTGAGTTAGAAGTGACAGCAGACTTATTGGGTGGCGCTTGACTGAAATTGAAATCTTGCCTGTTATCGCTTAATACAGGCCCAGTACATTTCTCCACTAACAAGGTATACAACTTGCGGGGCGATTGACGTAACTCTTTCTTTAAAGGCACGGTTCACGATAAAAAGGGTTACTGAGTTTTTCCTTTAGG